TGATCAAGAAATAATATTTACTGAATAAAATGACATGAATTGCTCGAAGGACTACTACTTAACATGATCGCTAAACATGCACGGCCCGTGGTACGCGCTACATACACGACCACGCCCTTTGGCCAATTTAACGATTAAACATGATAATCCTTCGGCTAAGTTAACTTGACTAAACATGGATTAATATAAAATGACTGAATACATGAAGCTCGCTCGAAAGTCTATGGATCAAAATGAATACGCTCGACGTGATCTACTCGCACAGCCGAAAGTAATTAAGGCCATATCGTGAGTATGACTTAAGCAAAACTGATCTAACATGACTTTAGCAAGATCAAACAAAGGTAAACCGAGGTTACCTCTCCACTTGCTCGCCTGGTCGCACAAGGTGCTCGTGACCACTCGGAGCTCGGTGCTTCCGTGCGTGTGCGTGAGCTTCCCCGTGCGTAGCGTCTCTCGCGCGCTGCTGGCACCTAGGTTACGCGTGCGGTGCTTACTATACTAAGGGAAACTCTCTATACTAAACACATATATATAAATATTAAGGAGTGTAGTAGCAATTTTTTCTCCCCAACATAGAATATATATATGGCCGAAATAAAGAGGTGGAGACTTGTTGGTGGCTTCCCAATTTCATGCCACATGTTGCTTAAGGAAGACTTAAAAATGCTTAGTCACATAACCATGCATTAGTCATCACTCCAAGCTTAATCCTTAGACACCTCATGCTTAATAAGGAAGACAAATTCTCCCCAAAATGATCACTAATTTGCTCACGGTTTTTAATAATAAAATTTGAGCAAATTCCCTAAATGCTACGGCTTTTGATTAGTTAAACATAATTAATCACTAATTAAGTATAATCTGTATGCTTAATTAATTGCTAAGCATTATACTTAATTACCAAAATTATTCCGAACACAAACGTGACTTCGAAAATAATTTCTGATATTCCTGACTTGGACGATTAATCCGAATATTGATATTTCGAATAATTCGTCAACTTAAATTATTAATTCCGAACTCATTTTGTAATGCCCCGTTTGTTTAGGAATTATTTGGGATGAATTATTATTGTATTATTATTATTATTATTATTATTATTATTATTATTATTATTATTATTATTATTATTATTATTATTATTATTATTAAATGTCTAATTGTTATTATTTATTTAAATGATTATTATTATTAAACGTATATTGTGTGTATTATAAATATATTTTATTCATTTATTGTTCGAAACCGTTTGATCGAGTCAGGCCTCGAAAAATTGTTATTATTGAACCGAGAGAACAAGCCCGGCAAACCCACGTGCCCGAACCCATTGCCTTTCGATTTATGCGTCTCGTCGAATCCATCAAATATTCGTTATTCCATTTCGTGGATTTAACTTCAAGCCATTTCGATATTTTTCTCAAATCCGGTATTGGACCCAAATTGTACATGTATTACCGACTAAGTTTTATTTTATCCATTCTCGGCCCTTTCATGT